GGTGGTGCGGGTGTCGTCGACCTCGTCGACGATCAGGATGCGCTTGCCGATCAGGTTCTCCATCTCGCCGAGGGCGCTCAGGTCGAGCCACTGGGTGCGGGTGACCTTTGTGCCGATGACCTCGGGGGCGCCGTCGGCCGGGGTGGCGTTGCCGCCCATGGTCTCGGGGAGCTGCTCGTAGAGCGAGAGGCCGATGGCCTGGATGGGGATGTTGGGGCTCCCGGGCTGCTTGAGGAAGGAGCGCAGGATGCGGGCGGGGATGAAGCCGCCGCCGCCGATGGCGATCATCAGCTGCGGCTGGAACTTCTCGAGGATCTCGGTCGCGGACTCCTGGCAGAGCTTGTGGACCTGTGTGTTTGGAGAGAGAGAGGGTTGTCAGTCGCGGGAAACGGGAACACAGTGTCCGTCGGGGGAGATCAAGAAGGACTAACATCGTTGTACGTGACGTAGAGCTTCTCGACCATTTTGGCGGTGTTTGTTCGGCTGGACTGCGGGGTAGGATGGATTGCTGCAGATTTGGAGACGAGGATGTCTTTGAGAGTGTTTCTTTTTCTTCGCACGAGGGAGACTTGACGAGAAAGTGATGTAGGTATATTGAAGAGGGGAAGAAAAAGAGACTCGGGAAGAAATGAAGCTTAAGAAGGAGAGGGGCTCAAAGGTGCCGCTATTCACATCCACCACCGAGAACAAGGTAAGAAAAAAAAAAAAAAAAGGTCCCAGCGAGTCACTGGCCGACCCCTCCATCCTCGGACCCCGCGACTGCAACTGCTGTCAGGCACTGATGCGCCGCTAGAAAGAGAGAAATTTTGCTGGCTGGCGAGCCCCGCGATGAACCGTACAGGGGCCCCGCCTCACATGTGGACCCGCATTGCAGCGCCCCGCAATGCCCGTCATCTGCAGCACCTCAGTGGCTGCTGCCCGCTGTTGCCCAGCACGACGCCTTACAGCGTCCATCGGAGCTCGCCGCCAGCCCGGGACATTTATAGCCAATCACGAATTTTGACGTTTTTATTGACCAATGAGATATTTCAGAAATCTCAGATCTGAAGAATTGGACCAATCCCACCTTCCCTTTCCCATCCCTTGAAATGGCATTAGTGCATCACTGAATTTTCGTCTCCCTGTCAATGAGGATTTCACGATAATTTCCAGGCGACTCGATCTGAGATGTAAGCTCGTGTGGCTCTCATCGACGGTTGTACAGTAGCTTGTGGCTCTCACGCACTCTTGGGGTAACGTGTTACTGCCGGCATCATTACCCCGACGATATGCAGGCACCCGTTTTCCAGAAACCGTGGTGGATTTGTTGATGACGCTCCTTTCTTTCATTTTATTCATTTCGCATTTTCTTTATAAAAGGAAACGACTAAAGCCGGGACTTACATCAAATACAGAATCACATTTCAGCCTCAACATCAGCTATCCTCTCGGATCATGAGCAACAACTTCAAGCTCAACTTGCATCTCATCAGAAGCCAACCTCGCGACTCTAAGCGTTGTCCATAACGCCTGGTGATTCGGCATCCACTTACGGACGTTCCTGCTCATCGCCCCCCGTGTCTGAGGTGTCAGGCCAACGTGATATGATTTAACCATCACAACTTGCTCCCATCCCGTTCCACCCGCAGTCTTCAACACGAAGTCCACGTTCTCAAAAGCTTGGTCGATCTGAGCATTGATGTCTTGATGGACACGGCCTGTCTTCCGATCCCATCCTCCTGTATAAGATCCAAAAGTCAGTACACGAATTTTCTTTCCCAGCAACCATGCGCTTGCCTTGCCCAGATACCCAGATTTGGTTGTCCATTCGGACTGCTTGGTTGTATGTGGGAGGCTCAACAGCTCTGGGCTCAAGACCTTGTAGATTGTAGAATGTGAGATGAGACATTTCGCCCTTTTTAAGAACTGAAAAGCCATTTCTGATTTTCTAGAGTTGTCGATTGAGCAGCTGGGGGTCAATTTTCTATATAAAGAAGTCTTTCTAGGCTTAAATGCGAGACCGAGACCGTAGAGTTATGACATATAATGGGCCGAAGAAAGACTTCGGACGACTCGTTCAATTAGAACTCCTAAGGTTGATCGATTACAGCGAGAACTTATAAATCAAACCACTCATCTTGTAGGAATATGTTTTCCGCAGACTTAATCATCTTGACCTAGTTTCATCAACATCGCAGTCTTCTTACTATGATCTTGTACAGCCCGCGTAATATTCATGTTCGATGAGAAGTTAGCAGGTTTTCTTGTTCTACCTAAGAAAGCCATCTACACCAATACCTTAGGCTTAATGGAGCAGAGGTCGCCGTCTTTGACTGCACCATCATTTGCAAACGCATATGGCCATGGCAAGTTCTAGAACCAGGCCGAGAAAATTCTCACTGCCTTTTTACATGACGAATGTCTCCCTTCGAACTCGCAATGGACCCCTTCGGAGCAACACGCAGATCAGATGTGACGATAGCTGCGAGCACGACCAAAACCAAGATATTTCTTTTGAGAGCACATTTGTCACTGACGAAATTGACCTTTTGAACCCCGCAGCCACGCAGTGAGTAATGACTTGAATAAAGTGTTCATACAAAGGGCTTAGAATTGAAGACACTTGGGAAATCTAATGGCTAGGCCAGATATGGGAGGGCGTGCAGAACCAGAGAAAAATGAAAGTGGATGTATTCGTCACCGGACGGAATTGCGACCCGATGGATTGTTCTTGTACAATCATCGGCTTGTAGTTCCTGGACTTCAATTTATGAGTTCATTTGTTGTCGGCATCCCCAAGGTCGCTTCTTCTCACCAAGCAACTCTCCCACCGAGAATCCCGCCCGTTAGTTACGACTCATCTATGTCTCGCAGTTACCGTTTGGCAGGGCTGAAACAACCTGATATTCTCGGTAAGACGCTTGCGAAGCAGTCTTCCTTGTCTCATTAACTTTTCATTTAAATCCATTCAACTCGTGCCTCTCCACGCGCTTGACTTCAACAGCGAACATGTCTGTTTCTCCTTGAACAGCTGTCAAATGCGTCCAAAATGTGCTGTTACCCGTCTTCCATGGCGTCGCTCTGATTTTCAGTACCCATTAATGAGATCCAGTGTAACTCCTGCTTGGCTCTTGGCCACTTTCACCGCCACGCGCTTGGCAGTCAATCTTCCAACACACGTGGAAATGATGGGAATGAGCTTGGCGCCTTGTCGTCCAGATGCGCGAAAGAAACCGCGGGCAGCCTAAGACATTTCCGGTCAGGGGACGAAGATGAGCTCGGGGCTTGGTTCTTGGCCGCGTCGGCGGTCTTGGCAGTGCGACGGCAAGTTTTTCAATTCAGACAATGAGATTCTTCGCAAAAAATTCAGAAAGAGTCGAGCAAGGCGTCTCGTCAAAAATCGCCATTGATGTAAGTGTTCAGTGAGAAAGACGTCGGCAGCCGGCACCAGGACCGCACGCCTGTGTCGAAAAGTGGACCCTGCGGCGTGCCGTATCGGCGGCGACGCGGCATTGACCTCCGTACCTACCACTTGCCGGTGCCGACCTGCCGCCCGTCTTTCCACGGTCGGTCGCATCCTTCAAATTCGGCCTTGACAGCTTCCACCCACTTACCGCGTCGCATATTGTCGCACCACTCCAGCTGAGTCTGCCAACGGGCTTGGCGTTGACAGCCACCACGGAGCAAACTGACACGACTCAGAGACGAAAAATGACTTTACGCCCTAAAGTCCACTGAAGCCATTGAAGGCTGGAAGTCAGCGTCATCTTTCCTCCCTTCTTCTCTCGTCTCTTTTCCAATTGATCGCAACCACCAACGAGGTTGGGGGATCTCCTCACGTTTGCCGACTTGCCGCCCGCCCAGAGATCGTTTTGGAGGCAATCCTTCAGTTTTACGATTTGAACAGGGCTCGAAAGCGGTAGCGGAATTACTCGTATTTCGAAGCGTCGACTAAACGATTCGTCGATCCGGGAAATACAGTGGGTTTTCATTGGGTCTCCGTCTGTCATGTCATGTTTTCTCAAGAGTCAAGGGGTCTCTTCGGCACGCGCGGGAGTGGTTTGACGGAATGGGAGGAGGATTCGTTATCCATCGCTTTAACTGTTTAGGCATCCACCACCAACCTGAAGCTCAAGAGACAGTGGCAGTGCAGTCGGCTCGTCATGTCAGGGAGATGGGAAGGGATGTCCCATTGTCCGCTCCTCAGCTGGACAAGGTGCAGCTTGCCTGTCTTGCATGTCCTCGTCCCCTCATCCCAAGCTCCAAGAACGCCTGGAACGGGCCGTTCTAGCGCAGCAGCTGCAACTTGAGACAGGCACAAACGGTTGGCGGTTGGCAGGATTGGCGATCGTCGAGGGCTTTTGTATCATTGGATTTGCTCTTGTGAATCCAATGTTACATAGGCGCCGAGTTATGAACGATCCTCCCTTCCTACGAGCCATTCAATGCACTCGATTCGCTTGGCCTGGACGGTGACATCCCCACTCCAAGCTTGCTTCGCCTCCCAGACTAATCTTATCATCACCAACTGGGAAAATATGTACGCGTTTAACGGTAAAAAAAAAGGGGGCATGACCCCTTGGCGAGGTACACTTTTATGTGCATCAACCCTTAGAAGCTGGCGTAACCCCCTTTCTCGAGCAGCAGCGCGGCTCCGCCCCAGCTCCGTCTCGAATCCCGAATCTCTTGATGTTTCTTGAATTCGTCTTCGATCCCAATTAGCGACGTGACGTCGCGTTTGTTTGAATCTTTGAAACCTGTCGCTCTTTTTTGGATCCGTCCGTCCACTCTTTGAACCGAATTGCAATTGATTTGAATTTTGATGCCAGCTCGTTCTTTGCCTTATGCTCAATCCCACGCTCTTTTGAATCCCCTAGCCGGCAGTCCGTTCTGCGTCACGGCTTGACATCGTGAGTTTGGAGACTCTCGATGCTTTTCGCCCGTCAGGCTAACCCGAGTGTTGCCCCTCCGATTAGAGTCGACAACACCCATCGACGACAAACCCCCACGATCTGCCCAACATGCGATTCTCACGATTGACAACATTACTTACCTTCATCTCCTTCGCCGCCCTCCTGCCCTCCGTCTTCGCCGAAAGGATCCTCCAGTCTTCCTCCCTAAACAGCTGTCAGAAACAATCCGACTTCTCCGCCTCGCTCTTCACCATCGTCGTATCTGCCGACAATGGCACCGTCACCTGTAATGTCGCCGCCGTCGTTTCCGTCGAGGGCAAGGCCATCTTCGACGTCGCCTTGCGCATCTACGGATACGAGTACATGCGCCAGACCATCAACCCGTGCGAGATGGACCTCCAGGGCCTGTGTCCGATGAAGCCCGGAAAGATCAACATGGAATTCTCCTTCCCTATCGGCGACAAGCTCGACCAAGTACCCGGCATCGCCTTCACGATCCCCGACCTCGACGCCACCGTCCACGCCCTGATCAACCTGACCGACAGCGACACGACCGTCGCCTGCATCGAAGCCGACTTCTCGAACGGTAAGACGGTCAACCTCAACGGCGTGAAATGGGCCACGGCCGTTATCGCAGGCATCGGCCTCCTCTCCGCCGGTTTCATCTCCGCAAAGGGTCACACCGACAACGCTGCCCATCTGGCGGCCAACGCGCTGTCGCTCTTCGGATACTTCCAGGCCCAGGCCTTCGTCGGCCTCACCGGCGTCGACATGCCGCCCATCGTGCAGGCCTGGACGCAGAACTTCCAGTGGTCGATGGGTATCGTGCGGATCGGCTTCATCCAGGACCTGGCGACGTGGTACCAGCGCGCCACGGGAGGCGAGGCCGCGGACCTGCTCACCTCGATGAAGAACTACTCCGTGCAGGTCTCGAAACGCTCCCTCGACGTCATGGAGAACTACGGCGGGCCCGTCAAGCGCGCCGTCTCGGCCATCGCGAAGCGCTCCAACATCAAGCTCGACAACGGCTCGTACATCGTCTACGGAATCCAGCGCGTGGCGTTCAAGGCCAGGATCGAAACCACGAACCTCTTCCTCACGGGTCTCATCATCTACATGATCTTCGTCGGCTTCACCATCGCCTGCGTGGCGGCGTTCAAGGGTCTCGTTGAGATCGCGGCCAAGAAGGGCATGGTGAAGGGGGACCGCTTCGTCGAATTCCGCCGCGACTGGAAGATCACCCTCAAGGGCGTCCTCTTCCGCCTCAACCTCATCGGGTTCCCGCAGATCGCCGTCTTGTGTTTGTGGGAGTTCGTGCAGCACGATTCGCCCGCCATCGTGGTCCTCGCCGTCTTCTTCTTCTTCGGCACGCTCTTCACCCTCATCTGGGCGTCCTGGAAGGTCATCCGCATCGCGAGACAATCGATCCTGACTCACCAGAACCCCGCGCACGTTTTGTTCTCGAACCCGGCCATCATCAACAAGTGGGGATTCTTGTACGTCCAGTACCGCGCCTCGGCGTACTACTTCGTCATCCCCTTCATCGCCTACATCTTCATCAAGTCCGCCGTCATCGCCTTCGGACAAGGCACCGGCGCCGGACAAGCGATCGCCCTCATTATTATCGAGGCCGCTGCCTTGATCGCCGTCAGTGCGCTGAAGCCATTCATGGATAAGAGCACCAACTCGTTCAACATCTCCATCGCCGCCATCAACTTCATCAACTCCATTTTCCTCCTCATCTTCACGAACGTGTTCGGCACCCCCGGCATCGTGATCGGTGTCGTCGGCGTCATCCTCTTCGTCGTCAACGTCATCTTCGCCCTGGTCCTGCTGCTCATGGTCCTGATCTCGAGTATCCTGGTCTTCTGGCGCGTCAAGGGCCAGCCGATCGAGCCAAGCCAGCTCCACGATCCCAGCGTGATGGCGAAGCGCGACGGCACCGAGAACAAGTCCCTCCTCGACCTCGACGAGGACGACAAGCCGATGTACAGAAGAGAGTCGGTGAGGTCGGTGAGGTCGATGTACGGAGGAGAGAAGGCGATGGAGGATGGAAGGAGTCAGCCCAGGGGAGCGGCCGATAGCCACGAGATGTCATATCTGCCGTCACCGACAACACGGCCCGCAGTCAGCCCTGCGATGCCGTTGTTCCCCGCGGATCCGTCACTACGCCCGCTCACTCCCACAACGCCGCGCTCACCGGCCGGCAACGACCCGCCACAAAGTCCATTTGCGACGATGGATGAGTTTAGGTCGAAACACAACAACAGGTGAGTCGCTTATCCGTACTTAACATGAGAGGTCGATAGCTAACGTAGGCAATAATAGTCCATGGCAGCGCGGCGCTGGGTACGATCATTAGATTTGGCGAACACCATCATTTGTATTATTTATCACGCTGGTTCCTAGAGTTTACATACAACTATATACAGAGTAATGTCTCTAACGATTAGCTTCTAATCATGCCTTCGTGAGCGATGCTAAACTCTTGCGCATCCGTAAGAGACACCAGCTCTGGGCAGTTGCATACCGATGGGGATGCGATCAATGACAAGTCTTCGTTGCCATCTAATTCTTAATCATAGCACTGGCGTTTGGGAGAACGTGTACCCATCAGTAGTCGAATTGCACACAACATTGATTCACAAGTCTCCGACTGTCGGATAGCAAATGGGAAACCAAAAAGATCGCTTGCTCACGAGAAATAGGAAACAGATCTACCGCCGAACCCTTCGAACACCAAATATCAAGCCAGCTCTGCCTCGACGATGCCCTCGCCCATATCGATACCCCTCCAAATCTTCACAACCTTCATCCCAGCCTTCTCAACAATGGCACGCCAATCCCCCTCGGTCTTCTCCGCCGCCGCCATCCCCGCCATCATCAGCACATCCAACGTCGTCACCCGCCCCACAGGGTTCCTCTCGTTGATCATGTTCTCATGAATCAGCAGCCTCGAGTACCCCTTCTCCATCGCGTCTGTGATGTTCTTCAATATCTCCTCGATCTTGTCCACCGGCCAGTCGTGCAGGATGCCGTGCATGAAGTACGCCCTGGCGCCCCTTACCGGCTGCGGCGTGAAGAAGTCGTACTCCTGCGTCGTGTATGCCGGGTCCTTCTCGACGCCCTTCAGCATCGAGGGAATGTCCTGCAGGACGAGATCGCTAGCCGCCACTTCAGGATGCTTGAGGTGGAACTTCTTCAGATCATGCCCCTTTCCCCCGCCGACGTCGACCACGACCGCACGACCGGGTATCGCGCCTTCGAGGAGTTTCTCCGTGGGGTACACCTTGTCCCAGTCCGTGAGGTTGCCCCGCGAGTTGCCCTCCATGGCGTCGTTGAAGTCGCCGGTCAGCTTGGGGTTCGTGCCCACGTACTGGAAGAAGATCGAGTCCGGGCCCTGCCAGTGCTGGAAGTTGCAGTTCGCGTTGTCCGTCGGGTTCCTGTACCCGGACTCCCTGAGGAAGTCGGGCAGGGTGCGGAGGAGGGGGCCGACGAGCTCGTGGAAGAAGGCGCCGTACCACGCGCGCAGGCCCTGGTCGGTGGCGATGGCCTCGGCCCAGGGCGTGCGGGCGTACGTGTCGAGGTCCGTTTCGATGATGAGATACTGGCCCGCGATGCACCGCATCATGCGTCCTACGAATGTCAGCGAAATATGGTGAAGAGAGTTTGTCTGCTGAACTGACTGAGGAGAGTCTCGTCTGCGCCCGTGAGCTTTGCGAGCTCGGCGCAGGTGATGGGCTTGCCGCCCGCTTCAGCCCATTTTGTGAAGACGCCGAGGTCGATGAGGGTCTTGACGGCGGCGTTGCCGGCGCTGCGGGTTATGACGTGGTCCCAGGCGATGTCGTACGGGGTTTGCAATCGGCGGAGGGCGTTGTACAAGGCATCTCTCACGCGGATGCGGTCTGTCCCGTTCTCGAACAACGAGGTGTCGATGTCGTTGAGACTGGCGATGATGGAGTCTGCTTCAGCCATGACTGCTTGAGAGAATCGAGGGGTTTGAGGAGACGCAACGAGAGGGAGGAGACTTACAAGGTGGCATGGAGCGAAGGGGCGGGCGAGGTTTAAAGGCTGTCGAGACTCGACTTTCGGGCTGGATCGTCGTCGTGTTGGACCCGCGAGCCGGGCTTTCACCAGCTCTTGCGAGATAATGGGTTACCCGGTACCAACATGCACCAACAATACATGCATTCCGAAGGCGCAGCAAGTCACGTAAAACTCCACGAACATGCCCAATTCGGTCGCGTGGATCGGATTCATGGGGTTCGATTTGACCGTCGCACAAGACGAGGGAAAGAAAACCGCAGCAAACCCCCCCTGCACCGCCCCACGCTCAATATCTGTTGGTGCCGTTGGAGACTTTTGGTCCTGCCACCTACGGCAGCGTCGTTTGCTTGCCAGATCCACATTCGAGTCCGGTGTGACTTGATTTCTCTGCGAAATGCGCTTGCTTTCGTAGCCATTTTCGGAGGCGGTCGAGAGCCCCGAGGCATGTTTGCTCCTGTTGAACGGTTGTATCCATGTCCAATCGTTCACATTTAGCGCCAACAGAATCGACTGAGAATCTAGATAAACTGGGTTCATGGGCCAATCGGAGCTCAAGAGAGTGGGTTTGCCTGTTTGCTAGACGATCCTGTTGGAAGTCGAACCCTCAACGGGGAAAGGAGATCGTGGAGACTGATGGCTAGGCTGGTCAATGGGCTTTCCTGCGTTATCAATTACAGACACGTATGCGGAAGCATCTCTCCTACCTTCTGCTTTGACTACGGAGTCGTCGGTCATACTTTACACATCCGACCTTATCCGACCGTTCTTGGCCTCCCCATGTTTGTCATACCTGAGCCTGACACCTGAACCAACAACTTACGGTTGACAACCCCGAGATCGCAAGTCTGGTTCGTCGTCTGCGCTCCGGATCAGTTCTAGACTTGAAGAGTTCTGCGAGAACCATGCCGAAGAGGACCTGTACACCCCAGCAACATCCGCTTACCCACTGCGGATAACGCCCTAGTGTCACATACTTGAACTTGTCAACAACATGGGCGACAACTGCGCTTTACTCGCAAAATGCTCAGTTTTCAAGCTAGCATCAATGAAATACCATTCGTGCAACAACAGCATTCTCGGGTACTTGACCCGCATCAACACTTATCAGGACTCGATCACTTCTGAGAGCCACCATAGCGCAGGAAGCGAACCCTTGTCATAGGCCAGGCACCAGCCCCCTGCCTGTTCTGCGTCTTTTGTACGTCTTACGAAGAGGGGCATCTTGGACTTCCTTGAACATTGATGAATGTTTTGAAGATCACTCAACATCAAAAACATGAGCAAGTGTACCATCTGCGACACCAGCCGCCCTCGGCATCATAACCCGCGACTATGCAACGATTGCCAGGACTGGGATGACCTGCAGCACGTCTCTTCGTGTCTGGAGAAGCAGGACAAGTTCGCACACCTCAACCCGGTCCTCTTCTGCTACAAGCACAACCCGGACTGGCCGCCGATGCGGAAGAACAACTACTCGGAGATGAAAGATCTCTCTTATCAAACCCCCGAGGACTTTTCAACGAGCACCGGCTGCATGATCTGCGAGAAGGTGAAGGATGTCTTGGCGGCACATACGACTGAGGAGACCAAAGCGAAGATAGCCGTCTGGAAGCCTTTCGTGCATGATCCATGTGACGACCACTGGGCCGTTTCGAAGGAGACGGCGGCCCAGCAGACGATGCTGCCGACGACTCAGAAGTGTGTGCTTGCTCTGGTTATCGCAACTTCTCCCCGGACGCAGGAGAGCTGGGAGTTCGAGCCGAGGGTCATCCAGCTTGACCTGCGGTACGAGGAGTGGTGTTATAACCTGTCAAGTGTGACGACTTGGGAGAGAAAGACTATGAGCTATGGGCAAGTCAGACGATGGCTCGATCGATGCGTCAAAGATCACGGCGCCGACTGCAACGAGCTACAAACGCCGAAATCCATCGTCTTGCCGGGGTCGTTTCGGCTCGTCGATACAAAGGAGTGGCGCGTGGTGCGAATGCCAGACCCGGAAGAATACGTCGCGCTCAGTTACGTCTGGGCTCTCGCGTCCGACTCGGCAGAGAAGCAGAAGCTGCAACTTCAACGAGACAACATGGAAGAGATGGAGAAACCTGGCGGTTTGGATCCCGATATGCTACCAGAGGTTGTGTCCGATGCCATTCACCTCTGCGCAGAGCTCGGCCAGCGGTATCTCTGGATCGACAGGTTGTGCATCGTACAAGACGACATGGACACGAAGACGGAGCAGTTAGACGCGATGGGTGTCATCTATCATCGCGCTTTCCTCACCATCGTTGCGCTGGGAGACGGCGTCACACGAGGCCTACCGGGAATTTCTCGACGACCCAGACCCAGCAACTTCGTGAACCTATCATGGGATCTGCTGGCATCCATGAGAAACCCGATGGGTACTGTCCGCATCCCGTGGATTGAGATTGCGGTGAAGCATTCGAAGTGGAATGACCGCGCGTGGACGTTCCAGGAACGGTTTCTATCTCGCAGGCGCCTTTTCTTCGACGAGGGCCAGGTGTATGCCAACTGCTGCAAGGAGAGATGGTCGGATCACGCGGATGAGTATCAAGAGGAGGCGTGGAGGAAGACGCATTATTGTCAAGATATGGGATTACACGACGGTCTCAACATCGAGACGAAGGATTCGCTCGATGTGTGTACTGGGCCTTTGCAGGCTTACACGCCTCGATCGCTCACGTTCTCGGAAGATATTCTGAATGCGTTTGCAGGTGTTGCATCTATCATGAAGAGTCAACTCGCCACCGACTTTCTGTGCGGCCACCCGGAGAAATACTTCTTGGAATCTCTGCTCTGGATCCCGAACGACTTCGGAGGCAAATGGCGCGTAGTCCCCGACATCCCAAGTTGGAGCTGGGCTTCGTGGGAGGGTGGTGTCGAGTGGACGGATGAATGGACCATCGGGGACGATACCTACCTTGCCGGAAGCTCTCGAGCGAAAGCAAGCATTGTGGACTTCTGCATTTCCGACCCGACATCTGGACTTCGAAGGATCAATCAGCGGGATCTGCCTCTGGCTCGCGTCAGACACGAATGTCGGTGGTGGGCTCTCGCGGTCCTGAAGCACACCGATCGCGAGTGGTGGCCGTCCAAGATTGCCAAGGAGAATAGGTCAGCGAGCGTTTCCGAAGAAGCTGTCAACCATGTTGTCGGTCAATGTCGTGAAGTCGCAGTCCGACATGGCTGGGAACCGTCCACAGAGCACCAATTCCCCCGAACTGCATCTCTCAGCGACCTGACCCCGGCCAATCGTACGGAGACCGCGTTTCGTCTCATCGAAGAGCACGAAAGGGTTTACTGGTGGCCGCCTCTCACCGCAGAGTCTCCAGAGGAAAGGAAGGAGCTTGAAAAGCTGGATAATGCCGCATCTGCGTTGGCCGCCGAAATTCCCAACGCACTGGTCTTCAACACGTCGGTCGCACGTTTGTTGGTGAAGCCCTTTGACAAAGCGTGGTTCGTGATCCCGCCGAGAAGACATCGTACAGGTTGCTACATTACCACCAAAGACGGAAGTATAGTAGGAATTACTATGAGAATGCATCCATGGATGCGCCAGCAAATCTTCCAGCCGGAGAGGGAGTATTCGGTCCTAGTATTGGGCGTTGGCACAGCCACGCGAGAGATGCGACAGACGACAGGCCACGGTGGAAGTCAGCGGGACTGTCAATGGTATGAATGGGTACTGCTGGTCACGATTGCAGAAGAAGATGAACGAGGAGCGTTTCGACGCCTGGCTATCGGCTCCGTTTATCCTGACGAATGGATGAAAACGCAGCCAAAGTGGATGACTGTCGTAGTCGGTGGTTAGTGTGGAATGCACGGTGGTGTTGTTCTTTTGCCGGAGCGTCGGCGTGCCGAGGTATCGGAGAGAACACCTTGAGAGTTTGAGGTGAATTTCGCTTCGCCGTGAGTTGCAATCATCTCGGAGGTCCCGAAAGCTTGAGCTCCGTGCGGTCCGGACCCGGTCTTCCACTTATCCGGGGCTATCCCGGCGCCGCTCCACGGCAATCAAACTCTCCGGCATCCGGTGAGCTTGACTGCTTGAGAATGCGATCACCGTCGCTGACAGAGTGAGAAGTTTTCTGGCAGTGGGAATGTTCATCACTTTCCTGGATTCAGACCATGACATCGACAGGAGTGTGATGAACGCAAGGCTTTCCCTGGAGGAGATGTACTGTCGACTTACGCATCGCCAACCTCGGAAATACTTTGTCTTCCGAGAGCAGCCTCGGGCTCTGACAAAGACCAAATCTGTTTGCTCATGATGTTTTCTCCGCCGTCATGGAGACAAGCCGAGGTTCTCTCGAAATCAACCCCTCCAGAGACGGGACCCCGCGGTACTGAGGACGGGACACTGACGTACAATGGAATCCGCTCTTCCGAGCGGTGTAAGACTCTTGGCAAACTATTGAGTTGATGAGATCATGAGAAGCCTAAATTCCACGCGAAGCCCCGTTGAAAACGTCAAATCGACCATCCTTGACCTTGACGATATCACGGGTTATAAAATGACCTGCAGCGTGGACAGACCACGGTGGGACGAAGCGCTGATCGTGAATGAGTCGCCAGCAATTCGGATCTCTCGAGAGCCATTAATGCCACGAGGCGGCTCAGGTTTGGGTGTTCGCGCAGATCCATCCACTTTGGTCTCTGATCTTCATCGATAACAAGAGACGCATGGACCAGTGTCACCATATCCAGTAAAAGCTGAGGTTGGGAGGGCGCAAATCATTACCAGATTACGATTGTCATCATCTATGGGTATCCGCTCGACTAGCATTGACATATTGGCACACGTGGGCACGCTTTTCTCCCCACACCGCTTTGACTCGAGTCCCCCTTACAAAGCGAGGATCCAGTCTCTCAGGACCTTTTGGATCTCGAAGCTGTTCTTCTCCATGAAGAACATGTGGCCGTTGCCGTGGATTCCGGCCTCGCCAAGCTCGAGGTGCTCGGCCTTGCTGCATCCGGCCTGCTGCAGGAACTCCACGGTGCAGTGGTCGTAGGGCGCGTGGTAGGAGGCCTCGGAGGTGACGAGGAGGATGGGCTTGCCGGCGAGGTTGACGAGCTGGCGGGGCGCGGGCTCCTCAGCCTGCAGGACGCACTGGACGTAGTTCTCGCCCTTGGCGGCGTAGGTCGCCTGGACGAGGTCGGTGGTAGGGTCGGTGACCTCGGGGGAGTAGGTGATGGGGATGTCGGTCAGGCCGTAGGGACGGCCGGCCTTGGTGCTGAAGACGGCCTCCTGGAAGGGAGGGCCGGTCGGCTCGAGGAGGATGAGGGCCTTGGTGAGCTCGGGGCGGACGTCGGCGATGATGATGGGCATGAGGCCGCCCTGGCTGTGGCCGAGGACGACGGCGGGGCGGCCGATCTTGTCGAGGAGCGCGGCACCGGCGTCTTGGACGGTCTTCTGCTGGTAGGTGGCGTTGTTGACAAACTCGACGTTGGAGCTGTAAAAGGCATCGAAGACGGGATCGCCCATGGCACCGGTACCGGGCCACTGGGTGTGGTTGGCGGCTTGGGGCCAGAGCATGTAGTCCTTGACGGCGGTGAAGCGCTGCTGGATGATCTCGGCGGAGTAGGTCGACGGCTTGGACGCGCCGTACGCGGGCATCCAGGCGGACCGACCGCGGAAGGTCTGGTCGACGATGTAGACCTCGAAGCCTTGCCTCACGAAGTGGGAGGCCCATCCGCGCCCGCCATCGGGCTTGTTGAGGAAGTTCTGGGGGCATATCAGTAAGGTTCAAGGTTCGGCCGAGAAGTAATTATGACCACCCGAGGGCCTTTGGAGGGATCTGCAAAGCACTTACGGTACCCGTCTGGGCCTGTCCATGAATGAGGACGATCGGCGTCTCCTGGGTGACTCCAAAGGTAGGGAGCAACTTCTCGACGTACATCTGATCACGGAAGATGTGACCTCCGGAGCCATCGTCGACGTAACCGCCTCCGACGTAGAAGTAGGAACGAATGTAAGGGACCTCCGAATCAACGCAGTCCTGCTCCGGGCTGGGGAACGCGATGGACTGGCCCAGCAGAGCGGCGGCCACGGCGGCTAGCTTGAGGAACTGCATGGTTCGCTTGCGTTGATGTGAGACACGGAAGCTAGCGAATTGGCTTGACAGGAGACCCTTTGGAACAAAAAAGGGAGTGAATGTGAGCCGAACCAACGGAGAGAGTGACTGGGAAAAAAAGAGCGACAGTGGTTGGGCAGGGGATCAACAAAGTTTCCCGTCCACGCGACGGAAGGGTGGCAAGTCATTGCTTTTTTAATTGAACGATAATCACCTTGCCGCGAGCTCCGCTAGGTCAGCATAAGGGTACCCTCCTTCAGTGATTTCAATGATAGGGCTGATGGAGCGGCCAAGGAATGAGACAATACGACGCCGAGACATGGCTTGCCGGTGAGCTTAGCGGGGAGGAACCGCTTCCTTCGGTCTGTGAGCTTGATGGCGGCACTCGCCCGATGGAACCGAGGCGCCATTGCGGCCACTTCCCGATCGTGAGATGGACGATATACGGCGTAACTCGGGAGGCAAAAGGGGATGGACTGGATGTCGACAACACTTTCTTAATTTCAAGCCATGGAGGAAGTTGGCCAGCCCATATTAAAGTGGTGTTGTTCGGCACGAGTCAGTTCGCCGACAGGGACCGGGGGACTAACACACGCGAGGGTCTCATATATAATGGAGAACCGTAGCATCAGTTCAACAATCGTGGATATTAACCTTTTACTAGAAGGCTGGATGCGGATCATGTCCGAGCACTAATCTCCGTGCGCAAAGGAGAGAAAAGAGAAAAACTGCTTCTGGAACGATTTTTGACGGTTGTCACAGCTCGACGGAAATATAATCAGAGAGCCTCAAGTTTGGGGGCCAGTCGAGGTCTGACGACTTCAGTCGAGATATGTGCCGAGGAGGAACCAGAGGAGACTTTGCTATTCGGTGGGGGGAAAGTTGATCAACTGGCGGGTCGAAGCGCTGATTACGATGATCTTGGTCCATTTTCCACTTCGACCTTGGGTCATCGGGGCCTCAATTCACTGGAGAAAGACCAGATCATCTCAACAACAGCCAAGACTTTCTCCCGGCTTTTCAGGACGGCTGTGGCTGTATCTCCCGCTAGTTTTGTTAGTGTCTAGATCAACAGTCAGGCCATCCCCGTCTCTTCCAAGTGGACGTTGTGCCCGAAGATCCCTGCAAGGTACGCGCACGCCATGGGCAGAACTCGATGTTGGATCTTTGCAGTGTGGTCGGTCGGCAAAAAGTGATACGTCCGTTAACTACCGGCTTGCAGAGATCTAAGCGAAAGTTGTCAGTTCATGCCGGTTGTTGAAGAATCAAGAAATCTGCTCCACATTCTCTCGGCATCCTTAAATCCTTCCAAGTTCCAACAGGCGATGTTGCGGCACGGCAAAAGAAAACAAGAATATTGAACCATACAATACCACCCGTAGCAATCGGCACGCCTCGACTTCTAGAAATCTCAAGGCTCACACTCCCACAGAGAGCCCCACGGGTGGATCGTAATCACACATCTATGGGGAAACTCTGCAGCCGATGTGCATCCGAGGGAGCAGGGAAAGTTGGGGTCGAAGACGGAGGACTCCTTGGACCTGCGTCGTCCCTAGAGGACGGAGGTCTCAAACCCTGATCCTTTCATCTGGACCGGCCTTTCGCAAGGCCTGGAAACTGGTCACGCCGCAAGAGTTTCTAGGAATGGTATGATGCCCTTTCGTAGGGCGCCGGGATGAGGAGACGTAAGGTGCGAGCTAAACAGGGCCCCTATCTCTTTTAGCACCCGGGTCGAGAGGATAATAATGGTTCATGAACTGCCCCGTCTGCACTGCTTTTCGATAGACCCTTTTTTCGTCGTCTCTTTCTCTCTTTTCTCGATCTCCCCTCGTCGAACCCACGCCGCCGAAGCGCGAGAGCCTCGGAACTTCGCCGGCCATGGATGACCCGACGCTCCTCATCCACTGGCTCTTCAGCTGCCTGGCCCTCGCCATCATGGCTGCCCGGCTGGTCTGGAGGAGGATGGCCAGGCAGGAGTACAACCTGGGCGATTGGCTCACCATCGCCGCCTGCATCTGTGCATTGACACGTCTCGGTCTCATTCACGTTGTGTTGACCTGGGGGACGAACAACGTGACGCCGAAATATCGAAAGGAGCACAACTTTACGGATGAAGAGATCTACAGGCGGGAGATCGGCAGCAAATTGTCCATTGCGAACCGGGTATTTTACAACTCTTAGTCAGTTCTCCCTTTGCTTGTTACCCCCAGTGCACTGTAACACCCCGGGTTTCCTGCTCGCTTGTATGCCTTCTTCTGCCCGCAATCGAGTCAGGGAGGTAGCATCAGTAGAGCAATGTGAATAGTATTCAATACTAACCAACTACAGTCTTTGGTTGCAAAAACTCGTTTTGCTGGACGTCTACCGTCGATTGATCCTCAACTTGCGACATGAGAAGATCACGATATGGGTTTTCTCGATCGTCTTCTTCGGAACCTACGTCGCCTGCCAGGTGACAACATTCAGCGAATGCAATCCCTTTCATCTCTACTGGCAGGTTCTGCCTGACCCTGGTATGTGACCTGTCGCTTTTAGGATCTTTGATAGTGAAACTGTAGCTGACTCTTCATCCAGGATCTTGCTCCAAAGCCCAGCTTCAACTCGTTGTTGTTGGCGTTCTGAACATCGTAACGGACGCCATGCTTCTCGTCCTCCCGATTCCACTGGTCGTTTCTCTGAAGACCCCATGGCAACGCAAAATCCAACTCTACGCACTTTTTACTCTCGGCATCTTCATCATCGCCATCACCGTTATCCGACTGCCCATCAACATCAACAACAAAGACCTTCAAACCAACCGCACGACATGGGCTAGCACTGAGTTGCTGACCGCAGCCATCGTCGTCAACGCACCTACACTCTACGGCATGTGGAACAAGAGGAGGCAAAAGAAGTCGTCGGGGAAATCAACTGGCCCATCTGGGCTTCACTACTACGCCGGCGGAACCCACGCATCAACAGTCCATCGATCGACCGTTCGAGCGGCGCCGGATGAATCATTCGCCATGAACTCCACGCGGAGGAAAATGGGGCCCATGGAGGGAATCATGCAAACGAAGGAGGTTATTGTTTCGGAGTTTCGGCAGGATGGAGACCGCATAAACGGACGATATGAGAATCTCCCGGATGATGTGGAGAATGCCTCCAATCATTCCAGCCAACACGGCATCTTGAAGAAGTAACGAATGATTTTTTCTTGAATTATTAGAATAATAGAGACGACACGACGAACGCAATTTTTTTCATCAGGTTTCTTCCCGTATCCCCGTATTCGAGCATTGCTTCAATTTCCGTGGATAGTTGCATTCGATGGCGTGTTTCGGAAGGTCTCCGAGATTCTTTCAAGGAAAGGCCGGCCATTCTCCATATTAACGCGCGACCTGCCGTGAAATACGCACAGACAGCCCGGATCGACACCTTCGGATGAACAGTTGTCCCAGGTCGATCCCGGACTCGGAGAACGGGAGTAATCAACTTGAGACATCAATCACTGGCATAAAAAAGTGAGGTCATCGCGAGTTACGAAGAAAATAATCACTGGCATGCTGGGCTTATTTTCATCGAATATATTGATGATTCAAATGCTCTTAATGCCTTGGACTTCTTTCGTCGGAATGATGGAATGAACTTATCGAACTGTGGGAGCTTGTGTTGAAGAATCGGGTCATAGACACCACGTGGCCAGCCGATTGGATATTGACTAGAGATGAGGTTTAATATCAACTAAGTCATGCGCCGGTATGTTTTTTCAACCGTTATTTGTGAGGATAATGAAAAAGAGACGATTGTTGTATTCCTGCCGTTCTGTCGTCAACCATTTCGGCGTCGCTCGAAGGTAGGCCGTCCCGATAAGTTGAAGGTGGAAAATGACGAGTTCATTGAGGCTCTGCGCAGCCTGATTTGAAAATCATTTGAGGCCAAATAAATGCGCTTTGCTTATGTAACTCAGTGGTGATTTCTGACAGCCGGAGTTGCCGTCCATCCCTCCTCCTGATAAGACATTTTGACGCTCAACGTGCAGGCAACTTGCATTTATTGGTTACACGACACGAACCCTTGAGAGAAGGCTAACAATGAAACTGGTAAGTTCTTGTTGGGCGGAAGCAGGCTCTGAGCTCCCTGGACAGCATTCTCTTCAAGAGCTGTGTCGTGAGCTGTTCCGGGCGTCAAAATGCTCCCCTTCAGGGGTTGGTGCATTAGCGAAGCTCAGCCGCAGTCAACTATTTTTGAGGCGGTGCAGGCTGTTGGAATGCTCTTGAGGGCCAAAAGGACCTCATAGCCTGATTATGGACCGAATCCGATTTCCCGCGTCTCTCTCCATCGAATTTCTCTTACTTCATTGTAGTCTCTAGGGTTCTACGTTGGGATATTGGTACAGTCAACGGCATCACTCTTGCGGTTGGCGTACTCATTCCGTCACCACCGGCACCGAGAAGCCCCACCACCCCTCGACTCCGATCCGTAGAGCGCCGATAAACCGGAGCTAGGCCTGAGCCGATCTGCCGCTTTTCTAAGCTTCACTGTGACCCGCATTCATTATGAGCGACAGCAACGGTGATTTCCCTGTTGCGGTTGCAGCTTTGGTCATAGCCATGGCAGCCTTGGGTGTCGCCATGCTTCAAATTGCGCAAGCTCTTACTGCCTCCTCCCGGGGACCCCTCACCTGCGACAAGGCGGTCATAGGAGAATGGGCTGTGCAGGCCAGACCAACGCTCAACCCCTGGCAAATGCGGCTTGAGGTACATTTCCTGGCTCCTGTCATATTCTTAGCACCACAAGCAGTCACACGTGGGCCGGTTGCGGGTGAGCCAGTGTGGCAGGCGGAGGGAACAGAGGAAAGTTGCGGCAGCAGCCGGAGTCGCATCAGCTGGGCAGAGGTGAGCCAACCGAATGGTCCAATGCCATATGCCACTGCGAATCCTAAGGAACATGTTCACACCGTTGACAACGAGAGAGCCAGCTGGATCTCGCTGCTGGTTGCGATTGAAAGAATGGAAAGGGACTCAAGAGAATGGGAAGAGGAAAGGCAGAAATTGTCGAACAATGGTCTCCCTAACTACAGCTACCCTAAGCCTTCCCTCACCATCAAAATTCAAAGTATCAAGAGAAGATTTGATACCTACTCAACTGTCAAGAGACCCTATGCAACAACGACGATATCACATCTAGTGCATCTCACGGCCGTACTAGGCCTCTTTTGGAAGGTTTTTGACCAGGAAAACGATAATTATCAAGCAGAAGGGAATGGATTCAGTCTACGGGGCTATCGAATGGCGGAATTTGGTGTTGTCTTCACATTTGAGAAGAGAGGAAAGCCTGAGTTCAGGAGGAACCGTGTAATACCTACCTCTGAAGTGAAGGAGCTTTGTTTCGGTCGCGTGCCGACTCTCTATCGGCGAAAGACGAGTGAGTACGAAGATGCAGACTGGCAAAACTCGCATCAAACCACTTCCGGAAATGGTCTCAAAGCTGAGATTCTGCAACTTGGGTCCCGCGACGAGATTGCAGAAACTCTGGGGGAGATAGGATGCAACGCCACCACCATGCTATACTATAAGGAGGAGAGTCAACATCAACATCTTTTCCCAGGTATGTCGGCAGCTTCCCTGTTATGGACGTTTCTGACAACGACATTTAGTGACCTTTGAGCTCATGGGAATGCTCGCTAGAAATCTGTATATCAAAAACAGATGTTTTACGTTCTTGCCAAATCCGTCGATCTTTCCTTGGCAAGGAGATTCGCTGTCATTTCGTAGACTGCTTTATGCCTTTCGCGAGCACATCATGGAGAATTGCAATAATATTGCTATGCGAATCAATGAGCGGATCGATCGATGGACAGACGAGGACCCAGACGAGGACACCAATGAGCGTCTTTCCGAAGAACGAGTATCTCCAGAGAGCAGGCGGGAGATCGATGAAATCATGCAGCTTGCAAAGGATACTGAGGATCTCTACGACAAGGTCAAAAGTGCCTGGGCTAAAAAGGCTATAGACCTGAAGTACCCGCAACTCAACAAACTCTACGATGCGATCGAAAAGGCGGACAAGATCCTCGATGTGCCAGACCAGAACCCTGACGAGACAGCGTCAGACAGTGCGTCATTTGAGGAAGAGAGACGTTCAGAGCACCAGGAAGTTGTGCTAGATGTGCTTCGACGTCATATCCAGGAAGTTCTGTCAGCCATCAACAGAACAAAGCCAAGCCGAAATGGAGAACCATCCATTTTGTTTGGAAGCCTGCATGAAGTCCCGCCTGAGCAGAGAGAGAAGCGATTCATGGACATATACTTCGATTGTATTCTCTGGCGCGTCGTTCACGTGTCCTCCTCCGAAGAGCACCAAGATGATGGGGACCAGGAGCGGGCGTCGCGAGCCATTCACGAAGGAAGCCGAAGCCGAAGCCGACGACAATCTGTAAGGTCGAAGGACGAGCAAGGGTCACCGAATAGGGAAGCCAGTAGACCACCGGTGCAGATAACTCCTACGACTACCAGCTTCCACTACAGCGACCGCCATCCAGCCAGGGTACGAAGTATGAGCTTCCCGAGGCATACCGCCAGAACCAGCGACTGGGATGTAATCTTGGAGGAACCTTTTGAGATGCGACGCCTCAAAATTTGGTATACCCTGGTTTTCAGAATGATTTGTTGGCTCATGCTGCATGATTTCCACAAGAGAGACGTAAAGCTTCCCAGTCTCGAAGTGATGGGAAGTCGGCAGCCTGTGCATATCTTCTGATTTATTATTCTATTTTGGAAATGCAGCTCTTCTGGTTTTCTATTGTTTTCTGTAACTCGCTTCAGACGTGATTTCTTCAACCTCCACGTTGTCCGCACTCCAGTTACACTGGAGATGCCTATTGGAATGAATTCGCACTGGAGCAGCGGGACTTTGGAGCTGTCACGGAAAACCGGACAGATAACTGCCAACTGGCAACAGTTTTTTGCGCTGGAATTCTTCCTTTCCATCTTCAGTACGTATTAGCAAGTCTTCAACAAACAAAGCATTATACATTTATGAATATATTGTGTGACGATGTTTCAATTGATTTGCCTCTGGTTTCTGTGATCAAAGCCGCCCGCCGTTTCGAACTTCAAAGATGGCTGTAGCAGATGGAGAAAGGGATACTAGCAGTCTGGTCACAGCCTGACTTGTTACCCTTTTGCGACAGCCGGGAATTCATCGTATTTCTCCAGTCCCAAGTAAGACATATGACGCCGCCTTTACATAGAAACGCATTTATTGGTTACACAGTAAGAACCCCTCAGATCAGGCCACCAATGACGGTTGTTCGTGACTTACGAGCAGAAGCAGGCTCTGGCCTCTTGCGCCTCAGCAGATCAATGGTTGCGCGCATTTGTGCCTCAAAATGGGCTTCTTCAGGGGTCTTTGCATAAGCGATATCCGACAGCATTGCAACCCCCTCGCGGCCGGGCGGCGCGAGCCGTCTTTCATTAATGGCCAAAAGCCCCCCTTTCTTTCTTCTCTGAGAATTTCCTGCTCTCTTACATTTTCCCAGCGCATTCAAAACTCGCGAGCGGTAGCGATTGCCGAATTACACGGTAGTCAAACCCACATCGTCCGGGTGGACTCCACCTCACCCCCGAACCGCCGGCGTTGTTATCGCCCGCTACCCAGTTTTCCATCGTTTGTCACCGGTCTGCTTAGGCCTCAGCTATCGGCATCCAACATTCTCATTCATTTTGAACGCCGACAGGTCCCGTACCTGGCGCACTCCACCTCTTTCGTCCGCCGCCATCATGTCTGGAGGAAGCAATGAACAGAATGTGGCTATAGCTGCATTGGCCATTGCTATCGCGGCTTTGTTCGCTGCGACGCTACAGATCGCGCAAGCAATATTTGCTGCAACAAGAGGCATTTCCAGCTGCAGCGACACTGTGATCCGTAAATGGGCGGCTCACACGAAATGGAGGTTTAAGTTGACGCAAGTAAGGCTTGTGGTCTCGTTTGAGGCACCAGTCATTTTTCTGGCAGACGACTCTCTGAATGCAGGGCCGGTGAAAGGTGCACCTGTATGGCAGCCTGATGGCAGCAAGCAGAGCTGTGATGATTGCCGAATCTCATATGACGACGTCGAGCCGAGGGGGGAAAATGCGGGAAAAGAACAGATACATACGGTTGACCATGAGCAAGCAACGTGGATTTGGCTGTTGGCGGCTGTCCAGAGGATGGAGAAAGAATCCAAGGAGTGGGATGAGAAGAAGCGCGAACAGGATGTCGGGAGACTGTACACGAAGATTGAGTGGAAACCATCGCTCGCGGTGAAGATTCAAGCAATGCGCAGGAGCTTCGACGCCAACCCTGCGATCAAGAAGCCATACGCCACTACAACTATCTCCCACCTGGTTGAACTCGCCTCAGTTCTCGGGCTTTACTGGAAAGTCTTCGATCGAGAAGATAACAAATACCGCGCTGAGGGCAACGGTTATAGCTTAACGGGCTCTCGCATTGCGGATTTCGGTATCGTTTTTGTTTTCGAAAAGGTTGGTCACCCAAGTTTCGAGAAGGGAAGAATCATTCCGGCATACGAGGTCAAGGAGCTGTGTTTTGGCAGAGTGCCAACTCTATTTCGTGAAGAACTGCCGAAAAACGATGTTGAGTGGTTGAAACCGCTGAAAACGTCGTCGTCTACCAGACTTAAGATTCTGCAATTGGGGAGCCGTGAGGAGATCATGGAGAGTCTCACTTCGATCGGTTGCAATGTCAATACGACACTGTACTTCAAAGAACCGGGCCACGATAAACATCTCTTCCCAGGTATGTTTCGACTGTCTGCAATGTGTCGGTATTCTTACTAATCGGTGGTAATAAGTGACATTCGAGATCATGGGAATGCTGGCTCGGGTGCTTCACATCAAGGACACATGCTTCCGATATCTGCCAAACCCAACAGTTTCTCCCTGGAACAAGGAGTCGTTTTCTCTCCGTCGTCTTCTTATTGCGTTTAATGCACGCTTGCAAAGACACGTCACAACCATTGAAGAAAGCATTCTCGAGCAAGAAGACCAGGAAGGTGACATTCCGCCCGAAGCGACGATAGAAAAACGAAAGATGAGAGACTTGGCGGGGAAAGCTGCAAGTCTTGACGGTGTGCCCGCAGACGAGACAGAACTCAGCTACTCCCGGATGAATGCGTTTCGCGAAGCGATAAAATGGTGCGACGGTATTCTCACGGAAGAGGACCTCCGCAAGGGAGTGCTGGATGTGCTGCGCCGCCACCTTCATATGGTTTTGGCAACCATCAACTCATCGGCTCCTGCGGACAAGGGCGACAAACAACATGCGAGCAGCGAACAGACCATATCTTTCGAGCGCTTACTCAAGACACCCCTGGAAAAGAGGGAAGATAAGTTCATGGACATATACTTCGACTCTATCGTGTGGGAAGTTATTAGCTCTGATGAGCATCATGGAGAGGAGCAACAAGTTTCACGGGCTATCCACGAGGATATGGAGAACACCCAACGTACGCGGGCAGAACATAGGAATGCTGCGAACGAAAGATCGCTCCCAGTCAGCTCCCAGAACGAAGAATCCCCTCAAACGCCAGACGGCCAAGAAATCTCCTTCCCAGGCCTGACGCATAGGAAAACTTGGCCACCACGAGAGGAGACAAAGTTGGCAGAGGCCAGGGGCAAAGAAACGCCAAACTGGAAAGAGCGTGTCAGATCACCCTCTGACATGAAGCGATTGACCATTTGGTACACGATGGTGTTCAGAATGGTATGCTGGTTGACGCTTCATGACTTCGACAAAAGGGATGTTCAATTACCTCCCAGCGAGCTCATTGGCAGCCGACAGCCTGTGTTCATCATGTAAGCGTGCCGGAAAATTGAATGATTGCAGGAGCATTGGCATATGTAGTTTGTAATTTTTTGATTTAATGATCCCTTAATGATTCCGGTTCAACTTGATGTTACTGTAAATTTTACTCCTTTTCATGTCGAAAATTCGCTCTGCGGAATACCGCCGACTGCGAGACCCATCTTTCCCGGTCACCTCCGGCCGTGTCCAAGGCACTAGCAAGCCGTCCCGTTCCACAGGTCCCGTAGCTTGGAGAGGACGCGAAAGAAGACCGAGAGCGCAGCAGTTAACCACTACTTCTAACCGCACATAAAAGATGGGCACTTGCTATAAGGCTTCTCACAATTTGGGTCAACCGAATATCGATGTAGGCTGCCGCAACTGTTGCTAAAGACCATTCCGGGTAGTAAAACGCTGTTAGCAGATCACGCGGGACTCAACGCGACTGCAGCAATTCCATGTCTTCAGACAATGACGCGGAGTAAAAGCGCGGTGCTTTTGTTTAGTTTAACAGTAAGAACCATGCGCTCTAGTATGTATGTACACAACAACTGGCCGAGAATTATTCAACGTGTAGTACCATCAGCTCGTGGAAATCTGACCTGAGTGTTTTGTTCGACAATTGTAGGTCGCCAACAGACAAATTCCTCGTGCCAGGGTGAGCCCTGGAAGCGAACCCTAAGACGCGATGCTGCAGTTCATCCGCCGTTCACCCCGCTAGAGCACTGTCAAATCACTGAAGCTTCCCCGCAATAGCCCAGCCAGCACGATTCAGGGTTTGTCTACCTCCGGTCATTGTGCTCGGGCAGCTTGCGGTATTCTATATACGCTAAACACGCATGTTAATCTGGTCAACTGCCCAGGAAGTCCGAAGACAGCGGCCATGGTTTCGTTAGAACAACCTGCGGCCTTGGTCGAGGGCCGCCGCATCTACCTGGGCAACCTCCTCTATATCGTGCGACCGGTCGAGATCGAAGAGACGCTCAAGGGCAACGACTTTGGAGGCTTTGAGAAAATACACATTTCAGTCGACCCCGTGAGTAGCAGGAACCCCGGCTACTGCTTCGTCGACTTTATCAAGCGCGCCGATGCCGAACGAGCCCTCTCATCCCTCAACGTCGAGATCCGGGGTCGGCCAGTAAAGGTTGGGCCTTGCGAGCCAAAGAAACCAAGGGAGAGAGGCTGGAGAAGCGAACCAGCCCCGGCAGACCAAAGATGGGGTAATTGGACTGGGCAGAAGGAAGTCGGGACTAGAAAAGGCGAGTGCGCGCCTTACGGCCAGATGAGCCACTTCGACGAGGCTTTTTCTACCGACGGAGACGGCAGACGAATTCGCATTGGCGGGTTGACGAAAATGATTGACCAACAGTACAACCAAGACGAGATTAGGGGACTGTTGGCTGGCTTCAACCCGTAAGTCCACTCGGCGGTCATGCTTCCAGAGCCTTAGAACTTGAGCTAACACGTCTGATAAAAAGCAAAGCTATTGGCAAGCGAATTACGGCGCACGAATCAACGCGTTCAGTACCCGGGCACCATAATTACTGCTTCGTCGATTTCGAGACAGCCGAAGAAGCGGCTGCGGTCATTGAAGCACTGCATGGCACGCCGTATGAGGAAGGCAAGTTGACCGTCGGGGCTGCCAGGCCCATTCCCAGAAGCCTGCAGGAGTCATCAAGATGGGTGAATGACCAGGTTCCCGAGAAAAGGGACAATGCTCGATGGAGGGAGAGACCTGCCCGGCAAGACGACTGGTCAAGGGAGAGCCGGCCGAACCCCTCCCGGCCCCAGAATTCGACCAGGAATGAGGTCGAAGGAGGATGGCCTTCCGCATCAAGGACATCGACCAGTGATCAACGTCCCTCGTGGACTAATGTCAAGAGCGATCAGAGTCCCCAGTCGGAACATTCGACTTGGAGAAAGTTTGGTTCTGGTGCTTCGAGCTCGCCGAGCAGTAAGCCAGACCAGCCGTCTAAATCCCTCACTTCGAACAACTGGCGCCAGAGAGGGCCTGCTTAGAAGAAGGCTGCAGTCAAACTACGATGTCAGCAGACATTGGAATTTGGTGAGGCTCTGCAGGGGCAGCATTATCGACCAGGGATTGTTCGCCAGGCCCATGTCGCCTGCATGCACTGCTGATGCCGAATGACACAGCTGCCGGATGAGTCAATCGGGTGGTAATATCGTCCGCGGCGCAACTACACCTACTAGCCAGAGGTTAACCGCAAGCCAGTCCGGTTCGTGATATAAAGACCAGCACTTGGATGGCGACACATTTTCCATCTACATCATAACAACCATCGTTACCCTTCCACCCGCTTCAGTCTCATACTCTCGAACCTCTACAATGCAGTCTCTAGCCCGTTCCGCAAAATTCAAGCGCCGCTCTTACGAGACTTCGAGGGATAGGCATCTTCCCGCGCTCCAAACACATCCAAATGAGCCGTCAATCGTCCTGCTAGGTGATTCCATGCTCGAGCGCATGATCACGACTGGCTTGACGCCGAGTTTTCAGCCATGGCCTTCACGGACCATGATCAGCAACGACAGTATCGCTCATCTCTGCAAAGAAGATTCTGCTCCGACAATACGACGCTTGCGGGGTGTTTTCAATGCTGGAGTCGGCGGAGATAAGTTTGAGAACATCATCTACCGTCTTGTCGGCTCATCAACTCCCGAAAACCCTTTGGACAGCTTGCTCGACACTCTCCGCAACCGCGACGTGAAGCTGTGGGTGCTTCACGCTGGCACAAACAACTTGCGACCCAGGCGAGGGTTAAGCGATAGTGATCTCAGCTTGCTAAGACGAATCATCGAGGCGCTCCTGGAAGCCGGTGGGAAGGTGTTGCTCACCGGACTGTTTCGGCGGAAGAACATCGACGACGAGTTGGTAGCAAAGGCCAACGAGAGTTATCGGAGGATGGTCGACGAGTTCAGGGAGGATGGGAATAGCCGGGTTGAGTTTCTACCGGCGCCTAAGGTTGATTTGGAAACTTGTTTGGTGGATGACGTCCATCTAAACGTGAAAGGTTACCAGATATGGAGCAAGCCTTTGCTCCAGAAGGTAACTGATCTGTTAGAAAATACCCCAAATTGAGATTAGAATGCATGCGAACGTCTTCATGCGATGATCCCGGGTTGAATTTTATTTCTTGTTTGATAGTCTTGTGTGATGATCACACGATTCTGAGGAAATCTACCAGCCACCAAACGACTCCAATGCTGCTGTGCTGGAACGCTCATGTTTCCCAGCCTTGGAATCATTCTTCTTGCACCAACGCTACGCATTTCAAAGACTCCTCTGAACCAGAAATGGCACGTAAATCAGTCTAGGACGTATTTTCTTTCGTCCAGCTATGGCAATCACCGCGAGTCGTTAACTATTAAAGTTCCAAAGTAAATGAGTGTTTATCTGATCTAGCCGAACCCAAGAGCTTGGGAGGCTTTTCCAGGCCCCGAAAGATCCTGGTCCGCGCAGAGTTATGACACCAACTTACGGCGGGAAGTTTCGATTGAACTTGAAATCCGAGGCTAAAGTTGCCCACACGCGTTAAAAATATCCTCGTGAATTAAAACCAGCAATTGGGTCCCGAGGTATGACAATGCTGAAGTTGCCTTTTTGCCCAAGTCTCACTGCCCTCCTCATTTCATCAGACGGGAAGGGAGTCCGTGTCCTTAGTACTCTCCACGCAAGCTTCAAGCTCACACCTTCACCCGCGCCACATAGCAATTATGAGCTTTCCCGCCGACTTTTCAATGGCAAAGCTTATTTGAACTTCACAGGCATGACGCTGCTCACCGCAGTTCATCGTTCTTTTGAGTTTTAGCGCTTTGGCCATGAGACGCGACTCATTCTTGTCGCAGAACACCATCTCAAAAGCCTGTGGCAGCAACATGACTCGCCCTACAAACCCGTTTTCATCGCCCCTTACCTCAGCGTGCTATGTAGCATCGCTAGTGAAAGGCTATTCAGTGTGCCCCGCGGGACATATGCCACCGGGCCTACCCATCGTCTCGTGCGAATCAAAACCGTCGCCCACTCGTCTCTTCCTCGTCAATATTACTGAGCCACTTCTTAAACTTGGGGCCTCCGGCGACGATTACCACATTTGGAACCATCAAGGCCTCTTACAGCTATCCCCTATGTCAATGCTTCTCACTTCAGGTCCCCGAAGCTATCGCGCGCTGACCTAGCTGACGCGGGGGTGAGTGGCGGTTGGACGGGATTCACGGGAAGCACCCTGACTGCTTGCATGCGGCCATCATGGGGTGTCGGCCAACTGCGAGCTGCTTTGCTTGCAAGGCGAGGAAGGTCAAGGTGACTACAACATTTGAACGTACGCAAAACTACACTTGCGGGTACTAATCCGGTCTCAGTGTGACCTTCAAAAGCCGTTTTGCAATCGCTGTACGTCGCTAGGCCGGCAGTGCCCAGGCTACGCAGACCCATGGACGGTGGTCCATCGCCAGCAGAATGCGTCAGCGGCACATCAAGTTCAAGTTCGTGTCGCCAAACGGCTGAAAGAGAGAGGCGATGCGACCTTTTCCGTGCGCACCGGAGGCGCTGAGGGTAGCTCACCAGAGAGCCACAGAAGCGACTCGTCAGAGGAGGAAGAGGTGGTCAGGAGGTCGATGACGATGCCCCAATACGTTCAGTGCGACACCGAGGTCTATTCGATGAGACACTTCTATTCGAATTACACCTCGGGCAACGAGGTCGGATTCTTCAACTTGATGTTTGATCTCAAACCACCCAGAGACTCACCGGGCGTTTTCGAGGAGGCGGTGAAAGCTACGGCGTTGGCGAGCTCGTCTCTCCAACTGTGCCAGGCAGGAATGATGGCTCAAGCAAAGCAGCACTACGGAAAAGCTCTGGTAAGGCTCAGTGCTGCTCTGAGAGACACTGAAAAGGCGAAGGATGATTCGGTAGTGGTGGCTTTACTCACGTTGGGCCTCTTCGAGGTGAGCAACAACTCATGCATGAGATAACTGTGGTCTAACCTGGTCCAGGCCATCATACCCGACAAAACCCCGTCCAAGATTGCTTCGCATTGTCGTGGATCACTAGCTCTTCTCAGGTACAGAGCTGAGCAAGGAATCGCCACTTCGTTGGACAAGGCGTCATTGGCCTTCATTGCCCAGCTCGGGGTATGAAACCCATCTCTACCAGAAAAGTCATATTGCTGATTGTTTCTCTAGATTCTTGAAATATTCATTGGGCAAGAAGGCCGATCACCCATACTGATGGGTCTCACTCAGGCTGCGTGGGCGCAGGGCGGCGTGGTTGAATCTCTGATAGCTCGGGCCATCGACTACAAGTTCGTCGCTCAGAAGATGATTGTCTCTCCCGATATCCATGACGCATCCGTCGACACCGTTACAGAGGTGTTCAGAACGGGCATTGGAATCATTCGCGACCTGGAGGCGGCGGCTAATTACCGAGTCACATCCCCAAGCCCTCGTCAGACACTAGTGGACGGCATGGCAGAACCGGGCGTGAGCTCGTTCAACGGTCTTCTCAACCGGAATTCAGAGACGAGCAACGCGATTGCGAAAGGTCTCTATCTCACGGTACGACTGCACATCGTAGAGCAGGTTCTCAGCCTGCTCATCGCTCTCGGCGAACCAACGCGCGAGCAACTCAGCACGCTTGTCGACTTACCCCACGGCTTGACGGCGCTGGAACAGGTATGCGAGCAAATTCGAGTGATATTTGGCTTCGACGGTAGGGAGACCGTCTGCAAGAATCAGGGAATGGGGTTCCAAGCGTGGGCCATGTTTTGGCCCATGATTGCCGTGCTGAAGTCCGCTTTGGCCGACCAGGATACCAAGTTATGGGTTTTGGACAAATGCTTGACGGTCAGCCAGGCGTCTGGGTTCGGGATGGCAATGTACCAGATGGGCTGGTTCAATGGGGGTCACTCGGAGATGAAAGTTGTGGATTAGGATAGCAGCTCTTCGGAGAGACATTATGGGTATCTTGATTTTGGCCCGGGGTTTTTATACGTCTAAAAGGCACCCCGTCTCAGCACCGTGGCGTTCTGGCTCGGAAGGGAACAGAGATCTGGAGTTTCGGGAGGTGTCATTTAAATCTGTACAAAAGGCATGCTTGCGTATCGGCAGATTTGTCCATTTTCAACAGAGCAAAATCTTACTAAAGCCCCTTTGCAGTATTCAAGAGACCAGTATGACTGCGTAACTAGGTGTTTGCCTCTACTAGACCACCGGCTCTCAGGCATGCCTCGATGGCCGCATGTTTATGGCAACTTGTTTCGGTCCCAGACGCGTTGGTTTTCGGTGCTCGCATCCAATCTCGGTTTCGCGTTCCGAACCGATCCTCCGGGAAAGATTACGAGGACCCCAAGAACCAGTCCTCATTTGGTCCGAACTCCAAGGACTAAAACTCCGGAGGGATGTGGGCATGCATCCATCCTATATATGCGCTCCTAAGCAACCCTAAAACGTGGGGTTGCCGCCACTCATTTTTTAAGGATTGTCCGGCTTCCGGATAACATCATCGACCAGCAATATTGATAAGCCAACGGGAATCGAAAATGGGAAGGGGAGCGGTATTCCCGGGTTGGTTATCGTAGCGAGGGATAGGGTCTGGTTGGTCTGTATCCTGACGTTCTGGGAAAGAGAGATTTCTTTCGCGTCTTTTGGCAGCGGGGGGATGGGTTGTAGACGGGACTTGCGGAGAGGACCCGTCTGATGTGACTGTCCTCCGGACGCCGCCCGAGAAGGCCGGGGAAAGGTGGGTCTTCTCGGCCCGGAGGCATTCGGCGGTGGGGCGGGCATTTCTAGCGAGAATGAAGCAGACCGGCGCAACTCAACTTCTGATGTGTTTTCAAGGGGAAGAATTGAAGATCTAAGATTGAGAGTTCACCACTTATTACGGCCATCCGGTTTATATGCACTTGTTGGATTCCGGTGTCGTCTCGTCTGATGGTCTTGTTGAAGCAGACAGGGCGGGTTCGACGAATGTTTCACGCCCCTGTTGATGGGCCGACAATTGAGATCATCGGCAGATACGCATGAAGCGGCGTTTTTTTTTCCTTTTTCGTGGCTGTCAACGGCTCTTTTCAATGTGTGTTGAACCCGCCTAACGACAGAGTCGGCCGTCCAGGACTCCAGCGCTGGCACGGTGGTCAACGCCGCGAAGATTGAGACCGTGCAACATGACGGCCTTCTCAATACGGCAAGCTCATACCAAGCAAGTCGCCAAGATAATGTCGCCCTCTTTCAGTTGTCTGGCTCAGAATGGCGAGCTTTGTGATGTCTAATTAAGATATGCCAGGCACCAGCGCCTGAGTGTCATAGGTTGTCATGCGGCGTAGGGCTTGTGGGAGAAGAGCTCAGACTCCAGGTGAACCAGGTGAACAAGATCTTGTCAAGAATATCAATAACTTATCTGGTTCGCTGACTTCAGATAAGTGACCTTGTTGAGTCCTAGAATGTGTGTGACTGGCTTCTCTGCTTCGGTACAGGGGTCTCAACCAGCGTAATACAAGGCTTTGCTTCTTCAGGATCGTCTTGACTCTCTCCCATATACACCTTTCTTGCCTTGTTTTCCATCTCCCCAATGGACGGACCCGTATCATCGAATACGCCACCTGCATCGTGCCCACGTCGGATAGCTGCCAGGGAGCTACTCTTCCATAGCGGTATATTTTCCTTGCCGTCGGAACCATGGATCGTCATGAACAGGAAGACCAAGGCACATGCAAGTGCCGTGACGTGAAGGGCGATCCACGGCCACGCTACTCGGTACAGCACGATTGGACTGCCGACTAGCCCTTTATGTGACATGGTATCCATGCCGTTCCGGGCTTGGTCCTGCATGTCAGAAGTACGGCGCATCTCGTTCGTCATGCTCATAGCCAATGTTTCAAACACCACAGAAATATTGGCATGATCAAGTCGGGACCATGGAAGTAGGTACTTCAGCGCCGGTGGTCTGGCGTCCATGTTCAAGTCGGTTTGGTCAAGAGGGCCCAAGATTGCACCGTTGAAGCCGTCCGCTTTCTCCATTCCGGGAATCTTCTGGAGAGCCTCACGGATCTTGGTGTTGTTATACCAGGGTTCCCACCGGAACAGGCCTTGGAAATGGGCGCTGAGAGACTTTACGGACTCCTGTCCCACTTCCATCCGCCAGGGGAATCTCAGGCTCGGAAGTGTCAGGGTCAGATTTTTATAGAAAGCGACGGACCAGTACTCGTGAAACTCCAGTGCGCGAGATTCATCGGGGGGTGCGAGGTATTCTGGTGGTCTCACTCGCGTCTGATGTGTGAGGCCCGTCTGATCTGTGAGGCCTGAGTCCCATGAATCTTCGGTTCTCGTGACGCCGTCGACTTCAGTGATGTCTTCCTCAAGTCGGTTGTCTAAGACTGTTGATGAAATATTCTTGACACAATAGTAGAGTGCACATTCTGAGGCATTCAAGGCAACAGTAGGCCAGGTGACGGCGTCTTTATTGCCTCCATCCTTGAGGCTGGGAAAAGACCCGGACTTGTTGAGCGTTTCCTTGTTTGGGTAGATAAAGCTCATGGACCAAAGAAGAGTGTCGATATCTTTCATCGATACCGTCTTGTTTGGATTTCCGGTGCCGAAAGTTGTGCTCATGGTCGACTTGCCCCAGCAACCGAAAGTAGTATCGTCGTTATAGGGCCGGCAGCCGTCGGTGTTGGCAATGAAGTGGCCATTTGGGAGACTGACAGCCTTAGCCAGAATATTAGATGTGATGGCTTCGGTTCGGTATTCGTAGATGGCGTTGATGACATTGTCGAAGTTGTCCGCCCTGGTCGTGAGTTCCGAAGTAACATCGTTGCATCTGTGACATATGCCGAGGGTCTGAAAAGGGCCGAATTTGCATTCACCAGCTGTACACTCAAACAGAGTTTCATTTCGAAGCTGCTCTGTTGAGTTGTAAAAAGCACTCATAATTGCGCCCTCCATTGACGGAGAAACGCTAGTCGTTACGTTCCACCATTCATGCCTTTCGAATTCAATTACGTTGCCCTCTGAATTAAATGTTGAATTTTCGAAAAATCTCGGCTGGCTTTGAGCAGTTCCGAGATAATAGCTCCCCGTGTTGGCAATGTAAGCCACGGCATTGTCGTCGGGCTCGTTGTACTGAATCTCTGGACGTAGCTGGATGAGCTGCTGTGTGAAGGGGTCCAGACCGAGGACGATCAGAGTCAAGACGGCACCAAATTGTGTAACGAACCTGAGTCTTTCTATCAATCTCATGAATCAGTCCAGTGAAGCTTTCATATGAGACTCACGCTCTCTTCGTTCTGAAAAGAATCCTGAGACTGCCCAATGGGCCTCTCGCAGCTGCGTCGATCCGGTCGAAATCGATGAGCAACCGCTGTTCTCCGCGACTGAACAGAATCCATTTCCACTGAGAGATACACTCCGAGATGACGAAAGTAACTGCCGCCTTTATCGTGACTGAGAGGATGGAAATGATGGTATTGAGTGAGATACCCTTCCACTCAAAGAAAAGCTGATCATCAAACTTGGCAAGTAGAATGACCATCGCCATAAGTGCTGCAGCTGCGCCTAGCAGGGCAGCGTACTGTGGTCCCCAGATCGACCATCGGAACGAGTTGAAAGCATTTGCGGTGAGTTTTGCTGGGCTGAACATTTCGGAGGGTTCGTGTAACACGTAAGGGGCCTGGAAATGGGGCATTTGTCACGGCATGGAAGGGTTCTTATAACCGGAAGACAAAGACCTGTGGAATGTCTCGGGTCAGCCTGAGTTGTGCGAGGGGTGAGGCCAGTGTGGTATGAGCATAGATGACGGGAAGTGAAGCATTAAAGCTGTCCGCCTTGTGAGAGTGGTTGCCTTGCGAGTGCGACATGCCAGCCGGAAATCAGTGTTTGCGTGGTAATGGCCAGTTGTGTGTCTCGGCCAAGAGGGAAAAGCCATCGGCCACTGCTGCGTTGGGCAATACGAAGTATTTCCGCCCTTCTCATTGCCAACTGTGGTAAATGCTGCCACATCATTTCCTCGAAACATCTAAAATCCTCGGTTCCGTAGAGTCAGCTTCTTCTGTCATCATCTGCGTTAAGGTTGCAATTGGGACACGACAAAGTGTCTTGTGTCCCCGATTGCTGCACGTTTACGACGAGCAGCCTTTTACAAGCTTTTCGGGCCGCTGCCGCGGCGATCATGGCTTAACGCATGGCGGATTCTTGGCGATTTTTTCAATTGAAGCAGACATTATCCCATCAGCTTTCCGCTCTCGAGAAGTGTCTTCTCGTGTCTTCGTTGAGAATATGTTGTGTCTGCGATTCTGTGGAAACGTAAGGCGAGGCCGAGCATTCATCTCACAAGGAGCATCACGAAGAAAAGCGACAGTCTAACTCCCAGTTCACGGAACTGATGATGCAATGACTAATCTGCCTTAGCTCAGCCTCCACGCGATTGACTTAAAGCTAAACATAACCAGCGTCGCGATTCTAGACCTCATGCGGGGTCGATTGGTGACTGATGTTGGTGCTAACCGAGCGGCGTCTATCAGAGGGAAGCATGAAGGATTCAGCTCGCGTGGAATTAGGCAAAACAGGTATTATCATTCGTGTAAGCCAGAAAGGCCTAGTCTCCGATTGAACCAAGACGTACGCGCTGGACAGGGGCTAGTGCTCGTCATCTTGGCCTCAGCTGGGTATCTGTAAAGGTACCCGAGACAGCGCATACCTCTCCTCCTCTTGTGTCACCACTCTGATCTCCCCAATTCCAACATCTGAATTGACGGTTCACAACGTTTTCTGCTGTTCGCGGATAACGGTTCAAGTCACACAAAATCACCACCCACTGGCGCTACCATGTTCGGTGTGTCCAACACGCTCATCGCCTTCGCCCTTGGGGCGTCGCTGGGGTACTTCGTCATACGCCTCATCCAAGTGAGGAACTTCTACAAGGACAAGGTGAGAAACGACAGCATCACGTCGCAGAGCGCCGAGTACGGCGCGATGAAGACCACAGCAGCTCACTGACGTCGCCCAGCCATGCCCGCCAGGCCACTCCTTCCTCTGGGGCCACCTCAAGCTCCTGGGCGAGGTCGCCGCGACGATGCCGCCGAACTGCCACCCGCAGTACTACTTCACCACGCTGTCGCAGAAGTACAACCTGCCCGGCGCGTGGTACCTCGACCTCTGGCCGCTGGCGGATCCGCAGCTCGTCGTGACGGACCCGGACGCGGCGATGCAGCTCCTCACAGTGAACCCGACGCTCAAGCACGAGACGGTCGGCAAGTACCTGGGGCCCGTCCTGGGCCGCGAGAACATCGTCTCCGTGAACGGCGAGGCCTGGAAGGAGGCGCACAGGATGCTCGGGTCCGGGTTCTCGCCGAGTTACGTGAAGCCGATGCTCGGCATGTTCTCGGAGCACGTTCTGGTCTTCCACGAGAGGTTGCGCGAGCTTGCGAAGGAGGGCGAGGCGTTTTCTCTCGAGAACGAGACCGCCAAGGCGGTTTTTGACGTGATTGGGACCATTGTGTTTGGGTGGTCGCTGGATGCGCAGGGCAAGGGCTCCGGTTTGCTCGAGGACCTGCGCGCGCTGATTGAGTATTTCAATTTCCTGATCAGCACGTGGAACCCGATAGCGAGAGTGACGGAGCACTTTAGAATCGGTGTCGTCAAGAAGAGGAGCTCTGCGACCATCGAAAAGGCCCTGAACGAGAGGTACAATGTGATGAAGAACGAGAAGGAGTTGCCGACGAGACGGCAGGCGAAGAGCATCATGGATCGGATTATCGCGGACTACATTCAGAGCGGACAGCCCGGACCACCAAAAGGCAAGTTCCTGGAGCTCGTCGTGATCAAGTGAGTAGTCCCCTGGCGTCGACGAGATTTCTCACTGACCCCTGCTGCAGCCTCAAGGCCCTGCTTCTTGGCGGCCACGGGACGACAACGGACGCGTATACCTTCATGATGATGCTCCTCAGCCTCAACCCGGACGCGATGCGCCGTCTCCGCGAAGAGCACGACGCGGTATTCCCAGCCGGACTCAATGAGAGCGCAGACCTATTGCGGACGGAACCCTCCAAGACGAACGAGCTCGAGTACACGACGGCGGTCATCAAAGAAACCCTCCGCATGTTCCCCGTGGGATTCACGACCAGGGCGGCCCCGCCCGGCCTCAAGTTCCTCGACTGCGACGGGAGGCAGCTGCCTCTCGCGGGCCACATGTTGTCGCTCTGCGGATTCACGTCGCACTACGACCCGGCCGTCTTCAAGGACCCCAAGGCGTTCCGGCCGGAGAGGTTCCTGGGCGAGGAGGGCGCGGCGCTCCACCGGTACGCGTGGAGGCCGTTCGAGAGGGGACCGAGGGCGTGCATGGGGCAGGATCTCGCGATGGACGAGCTGCGGGTTCTGCTGTTGTTGACGGCGCGGTGGTTCGAATTTGAGACGGTGGTTATGGGGGAGAAGAGCAAGGAGCCGAAGACGATCTTCTTCGATTTGGATTTGTATGTGGGTGATGCGGCGTTTCAAGAGATGAAGCTGGGGGCGTCGCCCAGGTCCGGAATGCAGATGAAGGTGAAGCTGAGTGGGAGGGAATGAAGCTGGTCATCTCGAGGGTCGGCAACAGCATATTCGAATGGCTTCTTGGCTAGTATCGATTCCGATTTTGCTTGTGTTCATTCATCCGACAATGGTGCTGGTGATCTCAATCTGTATTCCACAGCGCGTTCTGTTAGTTGTACAGAACAAGACCTTCTACAGGTTGTCAAAGTCGAGTGATCGTGGGCTTTTGGCGTTAGAAGTACAATTCTTCTCAGCCGAACAGCGGCAGTTTCTCAAAGAAGCGCCAGCACCGTCAGCAATGAGAGATGATCTTGGCTGATGACAGGAGACGGCGGCCATCCACGGATCACGTGATGTAGAGTCTGATTATGTAAGACACTCATTTATGGTCCGTGCTGGGCCGGGGGCCACTCTTTCCGAAACATGCCGATCTTTGCCCGAAAAGATCCGCCAGTGTTCCTTACCAAATACACTGACGATGCTTGTGACGGCAAACCGGCCAAATGCTCACGATTTTCCAGCTGTACAACATGACAATGTCGACATTATTTTCTTTTCAACATCGCGCGCGATTGAGAACATTTCCTCGCCAATGCTGATGACGGCGTTTTGAGCAAGTTTCTTCACCTGGCACAGCTGCAGGGCCATGAAGCGAGATCCATTCAGCCTGAAGTAATTCGCCGCTGAAGGGGTCTGGCAATCAGCAAACCAGCCAGTGAACTCGGCCACATGTCGAATATGATGCAGGACCGCAGAAGTACCTCTCGGAAAAGTGCCTTTGACAGCATGGCTTTTTTGGCCTGTTGCGAACGGCTGACGAGAGGCGACCATTTCCGAAAGACAACAACGTTGCCTGCCGACATCCATCATCCGCCGCCTGTCAGCCCGCCCTACTGGGTGACACGAGGCGAGCTGACGGTCAAGAAGACGCCGGCCCAAGAGCTAGCGACGCCGAAGCACCAAAACCCTCCGACGCGGACGGTCACACCAAGGCCCCAGCGTGGTTGGAACGGCACCGGCACGCCGTAATGCTTCGGAAGGTCAATGCACCAAGGGGGGACGTTGGAGCCGTGGAGAACGGCGGTGGAGATGTCGAGTCGCTGAAGAAGCGGTGATGAACAAGTCGTCAAGTCGTCAAGTTCCCCCATGCCTTCGCTTCGTTTCGAGAACGACGGGCTCGCGCCGGAGACGCCGTCATGCCGCTCAGGCGAGCCCGACCAAGGCCCTTTTTTCGACAATCAATCATGCGCGCCGTATCCCGCAGGAATGCCTCGAAGAAATGACATGCCCGGTCTCAGCTAAATCGAGAATTCGAGCAGCGAGTGGTGAAGAATAACGCACAAAACCCGCAACTCGAGACAGCCACGCACCATGACAGACGTCACAGCCACCGGGGCCACCATCCATCTCCTCCTCCAGTAGGATTGGCATCTTGGGGTAGAGTTGGTGCCTTCTCGGGATACCCCTCCTCGCCCCCAGGTGCCCCGACGTCAGCCGCCTCCAAAGATTCAGGGTCCTGCCTGAAAGGATTGCCGTTATCTCGAGAGCCCAGTCCAGCAGGTGCTAGAAGATACTGGGCCGTCACGCTTAGAACGGAGCGAGCGCGCGCCCTCGTCCCATCCAATGTTGGCGGAAAGCCAGGCTTAGGCTTGCCAGGGTCAGCTGCAAACGCTGCATGAAGGAGCAATTCGCAGCATCCCGGCGACTGGAAGCACAAAAGACGCACCCACCTGAACCTTATCTTGGGCGCGATAAGGGAAGCAGAAGAAGCCCGTGAGAGGAGGGGTTGACGACGGCACCGAGGAGACGAGGCGATACGCCGCCGTCGACATGCATTGCCCGGCGGCGGAACCAAGGCCAACAAGTCACCAATCCAACCACAAACATGAGCGACTGGCCACCGTCCACGCACAAAGGCCGCAATCCCCACCATCCAACGGACAACCAGCACAAACGGCGCATACCCGAAGCATTCAGACCAATGACGGCCGCCCGATCCGGCTCCATCTGGCCACCCTCATCTGACATCCCGACCCCTCCTTCGCTCCCCTCTCTGTGTTTGACTCTGACGGCCGAGTTGGAGTCTCTGGATATATAAGTGCGCGGTTTCTTGCCCTGTCTTTTCGACGGCTCCTTCTACTCCGCAACGCGATCAATCAAACATCAACAACAATAACAACATTTTCAAACCTTTTTCAACCAACCCAAACCAACCATCAAAATGAAGGGTGACTGTGGCTGCTCCGGCGCTTCTACCTGTATGTCAACTCCCCCTGCTGCTTGTGGCTGCTGCATCGGTCACGACATCGATGCCGTCCATCCTGTACCTGACAAGAAGCTAACACCCCATGTCTCAGGCAACTGCGGTTCCAACTGCTCTTGCTCCAGCTGCAAATAAGCTGCCTCTCCCTTAACGACCTACGAGCCATGACATACGTCTCCGTTTAGGAGCGCGGTCGCGGTACAACGCCGCGGCCGCGTCTCTTGCCGTCTTTTGCGACAACACGACGATCCGAGTTTTGTTTTTCGGGTACGGGTTGCGGTTCCGAGGGGACGAGAATCGGCGGATGGTGTTCTTTCTGCGTTGATGGAGGGACCTGTTGGCTAGCTTAGTCACTCATTTGGCAATTGACTTTTGAGACGCCGAAGCACTGCTCCCGATATCGTTGCTGCGTGATGCTCATGATGATCCATGTCTCGCCGCTGATACTGCTTCCACGGGTACTGAGCCCTGGTTGAAGAGTCCATCGACAGTGCCATCGTCGTCACTCCAGGACGATAACTCAAGCTACCAAGCCATTATATACACAAACTCACCAGCCCTCAAGGTGTCGACTCCAAATCAACCTTGCCGTCCGCCTCCCAAAATGTCTCTCCTCTGACCGCTCCTATGATGAATCGCCAACCCCGCCCCGCCCCGCCTTGGCTCCTCTGACCCCTCCATCGCTGGGCCTGTGCGACGACAGATCACCACCTTCAACTCAAAACACACCTCACCCTCACCCAGCAACGTCACGTCAACAGCCACATGTCTCGTCTACATAGTACAACATCCATAACGTCAATGGGCTCCCTCCCAGGCCGAATGGAAGCAACCAGACGAGACGAGACCAGCTTGACAGCCACAAACAAGGTCTATACTTTGTACAAAACAAAATAAACACACACAAACTCCCGCCCATGACCAAAACGGCCACCGCCTCGGTCGATGCCGCAGGCCGTGGCCCCCGAAAAAAATAGCTGCCGAACTCCATCAACCCCCTTTTCCTTTTCCGTACCTTACCTTTCCACAGGCCGGGGCCGCCGACGTCCCAGGCCAGGGGCAAGAAACCCGGATTGCGGATACAGCCTCATGCCACAACATCATCTCTGAATGGACGACATCTCCAAACCACGCCCCTCCTCTCTCTCCTCTCGGACCTCTCGTCTCTTCCGCCCCCACGGTCCATTCCTCAAACCAGAACAGGAAAAAGCAAAACAACACTCTGTCTCTGTCTCTGTCTGCGTGTCTCTGCGCTCCGTTTAAAAATTCCCACCGATGAGCAGACACCTGACGGCAATCCGAGACGATCCGTGGGCTGGGCCCCCTCTCTCTTCCAACCTTGATCTTGGCTACCGAGACATCAATCCTTGGCTCCCTCAAGTCAGCTGTTCTGGACCCTCTTCGAAGCAAGCCGCCCCTCATTCTGCACCCCTCCTCAAAACGCCTTGGAGCGTGCGTGCCGTATCCCAATACGCCTCGTACCTCATGTTTATTTTCAGTTGACCTTCCTTCAGCCCAGTCCGGGTCTCAAATATGCGGCCGCCTTTCGAGGCGTCATTCGATCATGCAACAAATCCCCAGAGGCCTTCCATTAGCTTTACCGTAGTCGACTCGATACTTCCACCTCACATCCCAAGCGCGCGGCTGCCTCCCGGCGCCGTCCCGCCGAGTCTAATCCGAGCTTCCTGAGCTTAAAACCTCAGCCGAAATAACAACCTCCCCATGCCCCCTCGGATGATGACAACAAGTGAGGGACCTGCAGGAAAGGCCGCGTAATAACCCTCCCCCGAACCCAGCTTCCCATTCGCGCCCGAGAGGCCCTGCATGATGCAAACCGCACGCCAAGCTCCCCCCATCGTGAGCTCTCGGCATCCCCTTGCCGGCGGGGGTGGTCGTGGCGGCGTGGCGTGGGAAATGTGTGTAAGGCAAACCAAACCATCAGTGACCACCACCACCACCACAGCTTCAAGTCTCAACTGTGAACACATCCCGTCCTGACCTGTGACCAAACCACCCCTTCCCACACAAGAACAGCTAAGCTACCTACCCCTCCATCCCACTTTAAGCTACCCTTGGACCCGTTTTCCCAGGAGCTCGTACCCTTGTCATTGGCGGGGATGTGAGCTGAAAAGCTGCGGCTCTTGGCCGGGACGGGGGGGGGAGGAGGAGGGAGCTCGATAGCTTTACACGTAGCAACAAGGTGATAACATGACGGCAGAAACAAACCGAAACGACGTGGAATTCCCGAATGCCACCGTAGATGCCTCATGTCCCGTTCCTCGCCCTTTGGTAGGGCGGAACAGCTACAGGACCAAGACTCGGTCTCAATGGACGGCAACAATGGAAGCCAATGGGCACACTACGTGACGCGATCGCCGAGCGGCGTAATCCTCAACTTCCAAGACCGCTCTTTCCCAGCAGAGCTTTCCCCTCCCCTTCCACCTACCTCCACGTGTTTGAACATACGCTACGTAGATGGAGGAGGCCTCTCGCCCCATGCCCGTCCCCCCTCCTCCGTGATCCATAAAGGTGCGCCTAGTAGACGTCACAGGTCTCTATATAAACCTCTCCCTCCCTCCTCGTCACCACCGTCGACTAGGCTGCTCTCTCCCTTCTCACTTCCTCACTAAAACAAAAAACCTCAACTTTCACCATACCCACGTAAATCCTAAACGACAAAATGTCTTTCCACCTTTCTGCCGAGAACATCCGCGTCGACGACGGCCACATCCTCCACGCCCAGCTCCGCAACGAGAACGGTGACCTCAACGACACCTCGATCGACCTCAACACCGTCCTCGGCAACGACAACGGCCGCTTCGACTGGTCCGGTGGTGGTACGTAACTACTTGCTCCCCCTCCTCCTCTTCCCGTCCATGCCATCATCACCAACCCAAGACTAACCACCCTTCAACCTCTCACAGGCTTCTCCGACTCCGCCGAGAACATCCGCTTCGAAATCGAGGGCGGCGAAAACGTCCCCATCCTCCGCGCCCGCCTCTTCAACCTCGAGGGCGAGGCCATCGACGCCGACTGCAACCTCTCCGAGCGCATCGGCAACGACAACGGCAACTTCGTCATGAGTTAGTAGTCCTTACTTCCTCCTGTGCTCACCGAATCAAGACAGTTCGACTAACAGGCGTCTCCTCCACAGACTAAACCGGCAATGACGTCGTCATGGAGCAGGTGGGGAACGGAATGGAAGGAAAGCAAACTTGTGCATGGCATGAGCGTTGCCCCCTTTCTTTTTACGAATTGATGAAACGGGATGACCAAACTTGGGGGAATAACGGACTTTGAAGTCGACCTATGCATCCTAGGTAGCGAATTGAGCTACGTGCCCGCAGAGGGCTGAATGACTTTGCTGTGTTGTTTCCCGATGTGAGCGTAACGTTGATGAGGCCTCGCCTGAGTTTTGCTATTGGGAAGGTGGACACATCTTTCCTCATTCTGGCGTGGGCGGCGCTCTTACCTGAAGATATCGTCGTTGTCGTTGTTGGCGCCTTGTTCAATTGGTGGTGAAGAAAGAAAACATACGAAACAAAGCGATTTAGTCTTCTACCATGACTACCGGACCAAATGAGTGACTAAGGTAGACTTGGCCACCAGCTGACATCCGGGGGGGGGGGGGGGGGGGGGGGGGGGGGGGGGG